CCCCAAACGGGGCGTCAACACGGGCGACTTCGACATCGCCGGTGACCCCCTGCCCCCTCCCCCACCACCCATGGAGATCCCAAGGACACCCCCCATCCGCCGAGACCCCAACGACCCCCTTCCAGGGACCGCAAGCGTCGGCCTCCAGGGTCTGCAGGGCCTGAGTGGGTCCCGCATGATGGGCGCGCCTGGGGCCCCGAGGCTGAACCGCGACTACAGCCCAGGGAGACTGCCTGACATGTACGGAGGGAGCTCGATCTACCAGGGCCCCATCGACGAGGAGGACGAGAGCGACTGCCCCTACAACGAAGGGAGCGCCATGTACACCGACCACAGTGCTGTCTACGAATCCACGTCCGCCTTCTACGGGACTATGGGTGACAAGGCCTTCGACGCTGACCGCACCAACCCATTGCTGATTCAGCAGGCTAACCACGTCAGTCAGACTCCCAGACCCACCACTCAGACCCACACACTGCACCAGATGAACGGACTCATGCTACGCGCGATTATGATTTGAGCCTAAACAGGCTGTGTGATTCAAACACACGTTGACAAACAGAGTAACCTTGGACAGGATTTAATACACCTCATATTAAAATTATTAGAACTAATGGGTTGATGCCTGACAGGAACACTTAACACTTCGAAAGTATTAATGGGAATGGCAATTTCTTCTATGGCATTATTCCGTATAATCAAGTGTCTGAAGCGAAAACATCTTTGTCTCCTTACTTAACCTTTTACTAAAAGATATCTACCAGTCTGTGGGCTAAGCTGTGTCATGTGTGTTCACCCAGTGTTTCAAGTGTTATAGTAAGTGTTGAGTATGGTTACTGCAATACAGTAAATGCATCATATGCCTCCTAGATTATGGAATTCAGCTATTATAGGACGGACATTATCTAGTCTGATGTTATCTTGCTCTTGTAATGTTTGCCTGAATATTTTAAAGCAGGAAAGAAATGTATAATGGAAAATCCAGATCCAACACAGATGATTCGTTACAAATGGAAATCGAGAAAGAACAAAAGCTAGATCACTTGCATTCTCTAATACATTTGATAAGCGAAGGAACTGTCTTCTTTATGGACATGAAAATGCAAGAGACAAAATTCAAGACCCCTTCTATCACTACATACTATATGTAAGGGATATGTAGTGACCGCATTTATGATTTATAAAAAAACTATAAAAATGTTTAGAGTCCAATGTACAGTGAACCTGTTAGTGGTGTAATAGATGCTTGCAGGTAATCATACTTGTGTGTGGAAAAAATAGAAAGTGTGTACTGTAGCACTTTTTTATTAAATAATTTAGGTGAACAAGTTATCATGAGTCATTTCATGGGAGGCTCTTCCTAAAAATATTGTCCTGAAAATAAGACTCCTATAGCATGTGCTCATGAAAATTGTATAGACATGTGTATATGTTGCCTAAAAGTAATGTTTGTCTCTGAGCATGTTAGATAATCTGTCATAGTGTCACGTGCTGAATAACTAGATATAATAATCGAGCGTCTTCTTGGCACGGAGGATGATATCTAGTATTATCTGAGTGGCTGAACAGATTGCAATATACAGTATCTGATACACTGATGAAATACTATTGCGCTGTTGGCGGTCACCTGTAAACTTATATGGCATCAGCGACCCATGTCCAGTGTGTGAAGAATTTTGGGAATAGAATCAGTTTTATGCTGTGAAGCACATATCTAACTTGTGATAGAGAATATTACTCACATTTGGATATATCATTTCGTCTCTAATATAAAAATGAATTTTTGTTGGTAATTAGCGGTTAGAAGAATCAGCACTTTTTGTATGTATATTTTTTCAGACTAACATAATTCATGTATGCACAAACATATATATATACACTATACATTTATATTCAATACATATAGTAACACATTATACTAAACAGATGAAGGAACAACTTTTTTTCTTTAAATTCAGTCTGTTTCTTGAGAAAAGTATTCTCAATAGGTAATGGAATTTTGTCCATATACGTATTCCCAATTATGAGAAAAACGAAAGAACTGAAATTCACATCATTTTTATGTGAGTAACTGTGAGGCTACTAGTCGAGTGTGGGTTCTAACAATGAATTATACATATCCCTATTACTCCTTATATTCCTAAATGTCATATCTTGGTAACGTTGTGCTAATGAACTAGTGTATATAATATAATCTTAAATTATGTTTTAACAAAAAAGATGTCTTTGTTTTGTCCAGGGCAGATTTAGCATTTTTTTGTATACTTGGGTATAGCAAAGAAGGTTAACTATATTCATATACGCAACCCAAGTTTGGAAAAAAATATATAGTTAATGAGTTTTGCAGATCCTGCAAGATTTTCAAATATCTACTCCCAACTCATGCTAACTAATGCATTTATATCCCAGCATCTCGGCTAACCACATTATACCCTGCAGAGATAATGCTTTGCAGGCATTTAAAAGATAATAATGATAATAAAACAGATTATGTAAATAC